TTTTGTTTGATCCCCACAATAAGAGAAAATTACGCGTTATAAATTTTGTTTTGTATTTCTTCCCTTCCCAAATCGCTCTCATTACATATTATATTCCCATTAACAACATTCCTTTTATCTAGCATGCCTGTCAATCAATATAAGGTAGTCACCTCATCTCTAAATTTAACTTTTAGTTATTAATTACTTAATATCAACCTTTTCCCGACACACCAAAAGTGTAACGAATTAAATGTTAGAGGAGGGGAGGTGCTAAATTTTCTAGATGAAGATGGGTGCATTTTGAAAATAAAGGTCTTGCGATTAAAGCGGCTCTAAAAAGTTCAATATTTAGTATTTATTTAGACCGCAAGCAGTCCCTCGGGAGAAAGAAGGGACCGCCGAAAACACATCAAGAAACGAAATACGCCTACTTTTCGCTCTTATTAGAGAGATGTCCATATTAGAGAGATGTCCACATTAGAGAGATGTCTGTATTAGAGAGGTGTCCGTGTTGGAGAGATGTCCATATTAGAGAGATGTCTGTATTAGAGAGATGTCCATATTAGAGAGATGTCCATATTAGAGAGATGTCTGTATTAGAGAGATGTCCATATTAGAGAGATGTCCATATTAGAGAGATGTCTGTATTAGAGAGGTGTCCGTGTTGGAGAGATGTCCATATTAGAGAGATGTCTGTATTAGAGAGATGTCCATATTAGAGAGATGTCCATATTAGAGAGATGTCTGTATTAGAGAGATGTCCATATTAGAGAGATGTCCATATTAGAGAGATGTCTGTATTAGAGAGGTGTCCGTGTTGGAGAGATGTCCATATTAGAGAGATGTCTGTATTAGAGAGATGTCCATATTAGAGAGATGTCCATATTAGAGAGATGTCTGTATTAGAGAGATGTCCATATTAGAGAGATGTCCATATTAGAGAGATGTCTGTATTAGAGAGGTGTCCGTGTTGGAGAGATGTCCATATTAGAGAGATGTCTGTATTAGAGAGATGTCCATATTAGAGAGATGTCCATATTAGAGAGATGTCTGTATTAGAGAGATGTCCATATTAGAGAGATGTCCATATTAGAGAGATGTCTGTATTAGAGAGGTGTCCGTGTTGGAGAGATGTCCATATTAGAGAGATGTCTGTATTAGAGAGATGTCCATATTAGAGAGATGTCCATATTAGAGAGATGTCTGTATTAGAGAGATGTCCATATTAAAGAGATGACTGTCCATATTAGAGAGATGTCTGTATTAGAGAGATATCCATATTAAAGAGATGTCCATATTAGAGAGGTTTCTGTATTAGAGAGGTATCCGTGTTAGAGAGATGTCCATGATTATTAACTAATGAAGCCAATTTAGACAAATAATCTGTTTTTAATATTGCAGAGAAAGAAAATGTATCGAAACTGTTCAGTAGTGGATATTTATTTGGAGAAATCTTGTTCAAGTATGGACTGCAAGATGATTTCTCATCTTTCTCAAAGGGAAGGTAAGTGTCTAACTAGAATGTAAAATTAGCTGGAATTTATGTTCGCCACATGTGCTAATTAAAAACTAGCCAGAATTGATGTTTGCAACCTGTGGTACATGTCTCTTAATTGTGCAAATATTTCGTTAACATTTGCGCTAAAACCACAAGTGCTAAGTTTTATAATTTGAAAAATGTAACAGTTTCAATTATGCCACTTACATTTTATTTTCAGTACTGAAAACAAGTTGACCACGAGAATACGTCTGAGTATGTCAATATTGAACACTAGGTTTCTTTGGGTTTATACTCCGGCATGGTTTCCTTCATCTGTGTCACTGCATGAGTTGATTTAGACAGCTACCCAGTCAAAATACAGTTATTCGTACTTGAGTTTTTAAAAAATAATAAAACAAAATCCTCGATTTTAATTTTAACTGAATATCTTTTATTATTTTAATATATGTACTTTATCGATGTACTTTAATTAATGTGATTTAAATGAACATGACATTAAATTATTTGACATGAATTGCTTGTTTTCTGAATGAAGTGAATTAACATGGATTGCTTGTTGGTCTTTAAAATCAAGTTAAATGAACTCGAATCTGATCTCAATGGCAAACATGTCCTTGTTGAGAACGAATATAAAATATTTAAATTCAAGTTAAGTGGAGTCTGTGCATGGGGGAACCAACACATGACTATTCCCGCCAATGGAAAGAAATATTAAAAATCATATTGAAAGATGGAATGATTGTCGAATCTGATAGTGATAGAGTGAAAAAGGAACTAATGCTTCTATTTTGCAAAACTGACTTTTCTTATTATAAATATGATAATATTAAATAATTAACGATATTCAAATAAATCAAGATCTTTTAAATTAGAGATAATTTGAAATTCAGTTCTTAAAATCAATGATAACATAAAATTAACGCAAAATTAAATTTATGCGAAATGTTCAAATTTGCATTAATAAAGTGCATGGTTAATTTTCTGTACAAAAAAGGCACTCCTTATGGAAAATGGTGGAAATATCATCTCATTAATTTCACCTAGAGTTGGACTGATTCAGCAATATTGCACATGCGTACGGCTACATATGTTGAATTATTCATGATTGCTATCATTTTAGAACTGCTGATTCAAAACTCAATAATTTTACGAGAATAGAATCTGTAGTGAAGTTGCTTGAAATTCCTTATGACACAAATGTAGTAAGTATTTTTAACAATAAACATTAACCAAATAGCATCATTTGAATTATGCGACCCCCCATAAGTTACTTCTCCAAAGAACTGCCTCATTCTTTAAAAACTCCTACTTATTTTTGCCCACGGATGATCTAGTTCATGAATTAAAAGTGTCTTTAGTAAATAAAATAGGGTTTATCAAAGAACGAGGCAGTTCTTTAGAGAGCTAGTTTATGGGGGTCATATACTTCAATTGTTCCAAGACTGATTTCTGAATCAAGGAGAATCCCGGCCATGTGTCTCATATCAATAACATTTTGTTGTTAGTTCTATTATATGACGTCATATATCAGTTGTCTGTGTACATTAATAATGTTATGAATGTCTAGAGTATACGCTGCCAAAGCGATTAAATTAACAAGTAAAATAAAATAGAAAACGACGCCTCGGCGAGTGCCGTCACTGACGTTCTTGCCACGATATGACATCATCTGTGTGCTATTTTAAAACTGAAGTGAGAACGGCAAAATGTTATCAATTTGTTTTATATAATAAAAAGTTAGAAAATAGCTAAACTGAGCTTATACCGAACAGAGTTTGGGGCTTTGAAGCGCGACGGAAAGATGCCATTCGACATTTTATCCAGTAAAGGAGCGCTTTTCCACTTTGAAAAAACTGGGAGGGGGGGGGGGGGCAGTTCCGCGGCCTATGCTGACGTGATTAATAAAACTAGTCAGTTCACATACCATTTGACGTGATCTAAACAAAACAGCGCACGTTATTTGTTCATGATGCTTCTGAAAGAGATTGGTGTGTGTCAGCCAAGGTAGTGAAAATAACACGAGAAAGCTGCCGGCTGAGAGGAATTCAACTTCCTGAAAAAATACAAGTGAAACGTCGACGTTTCAAGCGAAGGCCATTTCGTCGTAAAGTTAGCAGCCACTAACCACCGATGTACTAACTAACGCTACTAACTTCCCGACGCTCGAAATGTCGAAGTTTTGCTTGTCATTTTCAGATGGTTGAAACCCGTTCAATCACAGCTTTCTGGTTAAATATGTGACGTCATTAAAATGGCATCATCTATGCGCCTCTCCTCTAAGAGACGAATGAACTGGAGGCAGTTTGAACTCAGATTCTAAGATCGTCAGTTTAGTCATCAATGGTGATTTCCGGGCGGGAAATATATTCTTGGTATATCGTGTACAACTGGGTCTTATATGCGCGCAATTTTGAGTGCTAGTGCAGATAATAATTACGTGTGGTATAATTTATTTGTGTTTAGGCCAAGTCAATAATGAATGAAAACCATGGAGCGGCCACTAAGTTATTGTACCAGTTGTTTATTGCGTTGGGACGGAAGGCTAAGAAGAATCTAACTGGCGTTGCTATGGAAACCATGAGACCAAGTGCTCCAGTGAAGTTAGAGACTATTGAAAGTGCGATACATAAAGAGGTAGTGACATATTTAATCATTTCAAACTCAAGATGCATGCAGTACTGTTGTACTGTACATAAAGAGGTAGTCTTATAATTGAATCATTTCAAACTCAAGATAAATACACTGCTGTATTCTTCCCTCTAGTGCGTTGACACAACACATTGTATCTCTTTGCCAGACTTACTGTAGTACCATTACATCCCACACCATTCATCTCTATATCCTCTGTCTCGTGACTGTTATCTCGTCGTCCTGTTATTTGATTTCTTTATGCTGTCTTGACTGAATCTTCCTCCTGTCGACGTCTTCTAAAACCATGAGCGAACCATCACATTCTCGCTTCTGTTGTTTTCTCCAATATCACTGCAGCACTCATCGTTTCTTTATCTTTATGTTACTTATGTTGAAAGGATTCCGAGTGGAATTTTTATACACTCATCAGACCTAACCAGGAGCAGTTGCCAAAAATGCAACGTCCACTTCGAAATTTCATCTACAAATCCCTTCAACACTTAGTTGTATCGAGTGAGATGCGCAAAGACATGTTATTTATGCTATCCGTTAATCCTCTAATAGGCCCCGATGTCTTATTTATTTATTAATGTTGGTGTGATCTCTACATGAGTTTACTGACTTAATAAATTCAGATTCAGATTTCTGGCATCTTTGGGGAGAGGGGGCTTATATTGGAGAGGTGGCTTACGAGCCGCAGTGAAATGTAGCATTTCTGATTTCTTAAGGCTGCTCTCCAGTCACGCGTTTTTCATACGTGCGTATACGCACGGAAAAGTTTAAATCCTTTTAAATTTAACACTAGTATGAATTACCTGTACGAATGCACATTAAATCATTCACAAAACTATAGCTTTCCTTTTATTCATTCAGTTATTTCATAAGTAACATTTAAAAAGATTTAAACATTTCCGTATACGCAGGCATGAAAAACGCGCAACTGGAGAGCAGCCTTTACTGCTTTACAGCCTTTCAGTACCAAAGTGGGGTGTGGGGCACGACCAAAAAGGGCATCTATCTGTTGCATATTCAGCAGAGTTTTTTGTGGTCGAAAATATCCTGATAATACAATCACGACGATGTAAGGAACCACCATTGTAGGGGCCACGCGAAAAATATGGATTTCAAAGGTCACAGCAATACCATTACCACACTGTTTATCCAGGAAAGAGGAGCTTTTCCATTTTGAAAAAGGGGGAGGGTAGGGGACGGAAAGGGGGCACCAGCCCTCAGTGTCCCCAGTTCTGCAGCCTGTGCTGATGTGATTAACAAATTAGTTCACATGTATTGAGGAGGAAGCTAGGTGGAGAGGGTAAAATTTCTTCCAAGAAAGGGGCGAGCTATTGGAGAGGGGTGTCCGTTGTTTCTACGCCTAGAGTACTCTAAGTGCAGAGTAATATTTATCAGCGCATGTACATTTCATTTTTCTAGAGATTGAAGCAGCTGGTTCCAAGACAGGTTGATGTGAATTTTGAAACTTTGGTTGAGAGATATCAAAGCAAGCAGAAACTTCAAGAAGAAATGGCTGTGAAAGCAAAGTATGTTTTCCTACTTTGTTAGGAAGGTCTAGACAGGAGTTGTATTTTACACTCCTGTTTAGGTCTAGTCAATGTATGGAATTTCCATTCGCAATCTCCATCTACAAATTTAACCCTTCTACAAATAGTTCTATTCTATCGAGTAAGATGCTGAAAACCCTGATATTTGTGTTCGTGTTCTATTTGTTTTGTCTAATATTTTTCATTCGTCCTAAACACTGCAAACAGCAGGGTGCGATAATTTGTGTACTTACGTACCGGAGCGTACTTCCTTGTTTTCCTCCAAGTGCCACGTAAGTACGCGGAACTCTTGCTATCTGCGCACTTATTTTGCTAGTACCACACATGATTTTTGCAAGCCCATGCAAGGTATTGAATACCGTAATTTAGTTGGTATATCATGTGTCTGAGATGTCTTGGCATGAAACATGATTGGATTGATAGCACTAAGAAACGTTGGAGTTTATTGTTTGTATATGCAATTGTGCTTCTTTTTTTACCTCGTCGTCTGAACATACTTTTCAGAAACCTGTACTTTATGAACGTTATTTTAATGACTATTATAAATACACATTGAGTACTGAGTTTATAGTAGCTCGACTTGTAGTGTACGACTAAAAATCGTGAATTATCGCAACCTGTTGTTTTTCGCCTTTTTTTGTCCTAACCACGAGAAAGAAAAGCAAAAACGTCGACGTTTCAAGCAACTGCGCTCAGTTAGGTCTTTAATAATGCAAAACATTTTCGCTCGAAATTCCATGATAAATTCTTAACAATGTGTTATCGGTATGTCAAACGAGATTACCTTTATTTACTTTTGCCTACACCGCTTGTAGTCTGGGAGCTGTACTTCTCCGAGGGGCCCTGCATTCACTTTCCACCTGGGATAACATTCACTTTCTCTGTTCTTTAGACAAGAAGAAGAAATGAAAGTCAGGAAATATCAACAAGATCTCAGGCAAAGAGGATTGGAAAAGGTAACTGCTATAATGTCGTTTATGAAGAACAGGATTCAAGATGATCTCTAATTCTGTATTGTAATCATGGTCTGGAAGATCCCAAGAACAATTTCTCCTCCTTTCGTGGTCCTCCATACTTCACAAATTTATTGGGATGTTTTCCTTATTCAAAACTGGAGGTTCATTTCTTTATAGTCTCGACTGACACGTGATAAGCAAAATGAAGTTATGCAAAAGATCAGGTGAGTCACACTTGCAGTTGATGAGCTTCTCTATAGTATCATTTTCTAATATTCTCATTTTTTCAACCAATTTAGAGATGCTCAAGTTCGAATTCCCAAACCTCCTGAATCTAAGGTGATGATAAGATAATGGATGTTTTTATGTAGCAGTATTTCACATATATCATAAGTTCCTTGTTTATGCAGATTGCGAGGGAAATGAAAATCAGAACAACATGTTGCTTGACAAAATATTTAGTCTTGTTTTGCTCGATTTGCTTAGCAGATTAAATAACTACGGTGTATAGTAAGGTTGTAGTAATTTTCGGTGGTTAACTATTGTTAATATAACATACTGAAAAGGACAAAGACACAGGTATTTTAGTGCATAATACACCTATAGCATATACTCTTTAGAAACGCTCCAAATGAAGACTATATTTCTTTCTCCTTCTTGTCAACAGAAATCAACCAAAACAAAGCAAGAAATTCGAAAGGAGGTCGAAATTCAGGTAAGTCTAGAATATGTCTCCAATATGTCAAGGATATAAAAGTCTCCAAAGTTGGTAATTAGCCATTCCGAAGTTGATGAGAGTACTGGGTACGAGTGTTAAAAAGTGCCCAAATTAAGAAATGAACCAAATCACTAAAAAGACCACCTCAAAATTAGTAAGTATGCAAAGTTTGAAGACGTTTACATAAATACCCTTCGAATAATAAGCTTTCAAAAATTGTGAAATTACTGATTAAAAGATTGTTTTTGGGACGTATTTCGCACGTGAAGGGCATCGTACATTTGGATATTCTTTCGTGGAACTTTGGCGAACCAAGTTTATGTTGTTGCTACGGAGGATCTCTGATACCATAAAATCTCTCTGCTGCGGGGTAAATTGTGGCATCGCCATTTCAAAGTGTATGGGATATTATACGAGAAAATGCGATTCAGCACAAACAACTCGGGAGCACAAATTCCATGGAAATTCCATGGAACTCTCATGGGAGTAAAAATGAATTCATAATGAAGCAAGAACAGCACCAACGGAGAAAAATGTAACGTTTTCATAGGCTTTTCGGAGGATTTATACTCGGTAAAATCGTGCCGAAATTTTATCATAAATGCAACGAATAGCGAACTTTTCACACATGACCTCAAATAAAGAATACCGTTTGTCATTTCCGTGCGCAAGCCACTTTTAGGGGAGCAAGAGTTGACCACCCCCCTGGATAGCAAAATTTACTATTTTCAAAATTTTTTATATTTTCCATAATTTAAGAATTCAAGCAATCCATACATATCAAAAATTACATTTCATGAACAGAATTGTGGAATTGAGAACAATTTCAAAATTGTCTTACTTTTTTTTATACACCCTGTACATTTCATAGTAAATATCGCGATTTTGAAAGCTTATTATTCGAAGGATATTCATGTAAACGTCTTCAAACTTTGTATACTTACTAATTTTGAGGTGGTCTTTTTAGTGATTTGGTTCATTTCTTAATTTGGGCACTTTTTAACACTCGTCCCCAGTCCACTCATCAACTTCGGAATGGCTAATTGATAAGGATGTGTAATTTATTCCTGTAGGAAGTGAAAGATCACATCAGCTCATTCGAAGAAAGTATGAGGACAAATCTTCCTCCGCAAAGCTCTGTACACCTTGATAGGTAACTAAAGATGTTTTGTTGGACAAACTTATTTTTGTTATAATTATTGTTATTTGAGTTTTTTGCTAATTTACAAAATTCATTTTAATAATTATAAGGTTGTCGATATCCATTTAATATACATACTTTCCACTGTGCACGCATGACCGTGACTGTATTAATTACTGACAGTGGCGTATTGCGATAAGCAGAGGACATTCTCTCGATTCTGTAATATTTTGCTCGCATTTCATTTCGGCAAGGATTTATTCATTACAAGAATTTGAGTGTGGGCAATTATTGACGTGTTACACTAGTATTTTGTTGTATTGATTTTCTTTTTTAGTGAATTCGAAGCAAAACAAGATGTTGATCTTGAGAGCAGAGTTCTGCGAAAGCCTCTTCAACCTATAGCATTGGTACGTTCTTCTTCATTCAACATTTTTTGTACTTGCTGAACGGCAGGAACTATTCTAAGCAATGATCGCTAATCATGTCAATGTACTCATGCCTTAAAATGCACTCCATTGTACAACAACTATGAGGATTGGTAAAGATCAAGTGACTTTTCCAGGCCATATAGAAGCTGCGTACAGACAAACATCATGTGGCGATCAAATAGAGTCCAGGAAGGAAAACATTTATGTCAACCGAGAGTCAAATCCAAGAATGTTCTTTAGTCGTTTGAAATTAAACCAGAGACGTTGGCATCGATTCCCGTTTGGAACATTTAGAAAATAATATATGGTTTGACTTCATTTAAAACCCACAAGGATTATTTCTACACTTCTGAGTGGAACAAGCAATATCTTAGTAATTATTTCTTCACTGAATTTTATTTCGGTACAATCATCGGGAGGGCGGCATGTTCAATTCCTGCCAGAGAGCCTGCAGAAAATACTTAGTACATTTTCCAGCTGCTTTTTGTTGGGTCCAAAATTGCATATTAATCTTCCGCTCGAACTTTTCATCTACGAAATTCCTTCAACTGTCAGTTCTATCGAGCGAGATGCCAAAATCTCGATATTATACAATACAATACAATACAATGTAATGCAATGCAATACAACGCAAAAAGTGCTGTATACCTTCCCACATCTTAAGACGTATTTATGATGATATTTAGAAAACGGCTGGAGATGATTATGTGTCAAAGGTAAAGAAAAGATTGAACGAAGATGCTGTCGCACGCAAGGTATTATTTCGTACTCCTACATAAATTTATTTGAAAGGATGTGAACATTTTGATTGTTGTGTTTGGTTTTGATTTGAAGGAGCGGGAAAAACGAAGAAGGAGAGTTTTGATTGAACAATTGAAAGCCCACGAAGCTCAAGAGGTATTTGGTTGAAGCCAGTGCACATTTCCTATATGCATATGTTGCGTGCAGTGCGACTTGTTTAGGATTGATAGAGAACTCTCCCTGAAAAATACAAGGAGAACTTGGACGTTACGAGCGAAGGAACATCGAAGTTCTCCTTGTATTTTCCAGGTAGTTGCATATCAATCCTAAGCTTTCTTATTATTTGGACCACCTACTAGTTTTTGTACTTGACGTATGTCATTGTACAAATAACACTGTCGTCATCAGCAGTTGCTGTTGAGTTGTCGTATTAAGGTACGTTTACACGCTGCGATTTGTCGGGCCGATTTTGCTCGCTGTATGTAAATAACCTGTCGTCAGTACTCGCATCAGCACCTTGCGATTCACAAAATCGGGAGAAAAATCTGTAGCACTAACACAGATTTTTCTCACGATTCAACGATTTTTCTTCCGTTGTAAAGTTGTTGAAAACTTTTCGCACGCAGAAAACTATAATATGAACAGACGAGAGAGCGGACAGCTTCAATTGAACGTTTAAATCGCTAAATGTCGAAGAAGGGGCATCGATTATTTACCAAAATCGGCCCGACAAATCGCAGCGTGTAAAGCGTACAAAAGTGAAAATGCTGTGCTGAGTGGTTATATTACTACCTTAAAAAATAAGCAGAAACTCGACGTTTCGCCGAGCGAAGGCCCTTCGTCAAGACGAAGGGCTTTCGCTCGAAACGTCGAGTTTCTGCTTATTTTTTAAGGTAGTAATATAACCACTCAGCACAGCATTTTCATTTCTAGGTTAACCAAAAAACTTTAATCAGAGCAATCATTAACTAACACCATCCAGTAAAAAGTGCATTTACTAAACTGATTCATTTTGCAGGAGCAACGACGTGAAGAAATGTTGGTAAAAAGACTCATGAGACAGTCTCAACAGGAAAAACGAATTGCAGTTCAACTTATGCAGGTTAGAAAATATTCACAACCGCCAAAAATTAGGTTTTATGAATCTTTTTCTAACTTGCTGTTGTTATTTCTACATTACAGATACGACACGAGAAACAGGTGATCAAGGAAAACAGGTTTGTTCCATTCCTTTTCTGTGAGCAAACACACCTCGTTAATTAAGGTGATTTATTCGATTAAACAGTGGCCGGATAAAAAGGACTACTAAAAACACTTCTCAGGGCAAACCTGAAACACTGAAATGCATCTTAACGCGTTTCATTTGCGTTCTGACCCACAAGCACTGTTAATTTCAAGGAATTATTTTGAACCCGTTATACTCCACAATTGTCGGTAAAAATAGGCTCAAAATTACTCCAACCGGAGTTTAACAGTGTATGATGCGTTCTATTTACTTTCTAATCCAACTCTACCGGACGAAACTTTACAAACAGCAGATGAAACGGTATGTTTGTGTTCGAATATGATTAGGCCTGCATATACCAGGATCGTGATGGAGTGAACGTCTCAGTTGTTATATGTATTTCTGACCTTTAGAATATTCCGAGAAAAGCAGTACACAGAAAGACGTTTAAAAGATTTTGAAGATGCCTTGAATCGAGAAGCGGTTAGTTGAAAACATTATTTCACTTATTTCAATTTATTAGGAGTAATTGACGTTATATGGTACGTTATCCATGCATTTATTTTATTTGCTATTTTAATTACACATAATTATAAGCTTATAGTACCTACATGCAGTATAGGAAATATTATTGTTTTTCTATTACCGTGTTTTAATGCACGTAGTCTTTAGTTTCTTCTTAGCTCGTTGCCATATATTCTTTAGAAACCTCAAATGGTATTTGCAATAATATTTAATTAAAAAGACAATTTATAAACTATCTTAGCTGAAATTAATTTAATGCATATACTTTTATGCTACGACAGAGATTATTTGAAGAAAAAACAATGAATTAATAATTAAATAATCCGTAGGAAATGTGTCGTCTGGCGCAAATTGAATATCGAGATCAGATCCAGAAAGCTGAAGATGAAAGAAGAGAATTATTGGAGGAAAGAAGGAAGGCAAAATATGAAAAACATTATGATATTTGTCAACAGGTGATCATCAATATTCTAGACATTTCAAGTAGCTTTGAAAGGGTTTCATTATAAGGCTAGTAGGCTACGTTTACATTGTACCCGACAGCTTTTCGTAGGGACATGAAAAACGTTTACCTTCTATACCTTGTATAGGAACACTATTTTCGGAAGATTTATAGCAACGGAGAGATGTTGTTTCGCTCAGCTTCTAAATGTTGTACATTCCATACCAGCCGTATCGGATATAGCTGCTTTTTCACAGTCACGCTTCTACGCGGATAGCTATCTGGTATAGTGTAGACGTCCTGAGTGTATGACAGTGCAGCACATGCTGTATGGTCAAGTCGAAAATGAAAGACAATTATCAGAGAGACCAAACTGTTCACTATTGACACTATGTTAAATTACTGTTCGCTATCTCGAAGCTGTATGTGCTAACCTTGAACACATGTGCGTATCTTACATAAAGTATTGGTTTTATAGATCTTGTCTGATATTGTCGACTTCAGTTGTAAAATTGGTGAATATCGAGAGCTGACTGAAGGGTAGGTATTAATTGTACTATTTTTGTGGTTTGTCTGGAAATGAATATTTATTTTTCCACTGGTTTTTGTCTACTGTATTATAACCATTGATCAACCTGATCTAAAACATTTTAAAACATTCAGTTCGGGTAAAAGGGCGTGAAAGTACCGTCTATCAATTTTTCTCGCTTAGTCATGCAGGGTGCCCACGGGCCTTGAAATTCCTGAAAGTCCTTCAGTTTGAAAAGAATAAACCCATGCGTGGATAGTCGTTGAAAATTAATGCAGGTCCTTGAGAAAGTCCTGGAATTTTTTCCGGCTGTGCTGAAAATACTTGAGTACGTATCATTTATGCTATGCCAATTTTGGTGTTTCAAAAAGCAAAATCCTTGCCATATACAAAGATTTGCCAGTTTTAGGCCTTTGAATTTACTGAAAACGTCTTTGAAAGTCCTGGAAAAGTCCTTGAATTTTATCTTCAGTAAAGGGTGACAACCCAGCTTAGTGATCTGCCGCAGTTCTTGTGATGTGTTTTATAACTTATAGGGATGTTCCTGAGAAATTGTTTCGTGAGTGGAAAGGTTATTTTGATGCTGCTCTCCCACTCTATTCATATGAGGTATATTTAGAAAAAGCAATAACAATTAAGTTTGTTCGATATACGTAAGCGACATATAAATAGTTCGATATGAATGCTGTATATTGCAAAAACTGAATTTGTTTGTGTAAAAATGCTAGTGTCAAAATAAGTTGTACATTTTTTCACCTGGGATACCTATATTCATTGTCAACTTAATGTATATAATGTCACACTTAGGGTAAAATTATTGTAGTTTTTCTGTATTATCAAATCCTAGTGTTTGACCTAGTGAGCATCTCGTAACATCCACAGTTACAGTCTGTTTTCTGTTTAAAACAAATATCTGGTTTGCCGTAGATTTTAACCGAGGACGAAATTGAAAGATCCAAAGAACTTCTCGTTGAAGAAGAGAGAAACAAACTGACAGATGAGTCTGACTTCATTGAATATCGAGTACGTTTATTTTGAAATTGTTAGTCAGAGTACGTGTAAACTTCATTGAATATCGAGTAAGTTTAGTTTGAAATTGTTAATCAGAGTACGTGTAAACTTCATTGAATATCGAGTAAGTTTAGTTTGAAATTGTTAATCAGAGTACGTGTAAACTTCATTGAATATCGATTAAGTTTAGTTTCAAATTGTTAGTCAGAGTACGTGTAAACTTCATTGCATTTTTCTACGGTATTCACATGTTTTACAATCATAGAGAATGCAAAGATATTTCGCCGAGGCAGCGTAAGAGGCTGGTAAATAAATGTTTTGATCCAGCTCTCATCCTTACTCCAAATTTGAAACTTAAAATACCGTATTTCTCCATTGAGCCCCCAGCAGCCCCGCTCCCCTTTCTAATTAGTCCCTAATCAAGAATGCAGGCTGAATAATAAGCCCCACCCTTTTACTTTGCCCCACCCGTCTTCCATTTAAACTAATCTCAAAATAAAGCGATATTGGAACACTAAATGTTTTCTACAGATTGTGTTTATTTAATCGAAAGCAATAATTTAAATACCAAAATATTATGCTTTGTTTCGTTCTCATGAGCCCCTAGTCAAGGACCACGGGGAAAAATAAGCCGTGAGACTAAATATTATGTTATGTGTCTATCAAAGTGAATTATATTAAATTTACTTTCTCTCTATGAACATTGGTGCATAGCAGTATGTCCTCTCTCGTTGCAGGGTGCTGTTGGTGAGTGGGCGCCAAGTGATGAAGCACTGGATGTTGCTCAAATTCCTCCCAAAGATAATCCTATCCTGGGTCATATTATACAGAAATTATTCAATATTATATATCCTCCTGAGGTATGGAGAATATATATTTCATAAGATAATCCAATCCTGGGTCATATTATACAGACATTATTTAATATTATATACAACGTGTAACACCTCGTTAAATCCTATAGTCATTTAATTGGCTGAATATGATGACGTGATATTGAAAAGACAACAACGCGATTATTTATTTCGTCTTCAATCATTTCTTGTCTTCATTCTAGCCACCTCCACCTACACCAGAATTTCCACCGTTTCCAGTAAAAGCATGTTTTCTTGGAAAGTTCTTCAGCGGCAAGACTACCGCTGTACAACGTCTTATTGCAAGTACGAATAATAATCAATTATTAGTTTAATAATGTTCTGTTTCAGGAAATGTTACGGCGAAACTAACTTTGCAAGGCTTTCAGAATTTTTTTTTTTTTGGGGAGGGGGGTTGCCCTGTTCCTCCCTGTGGCTTTCGCCACTGCTATACATGTTGCTACAATGGTTAGGATTCTCTTGAACGGTCTGTGCTAGTATAGGTAGTGGCAATCAGGGGCGTAGCAGTGCACTAAAAGTGCCCTTTTTGTGATGAAAAGTGCCCTTTTTGTACGTCAAGCTAATGTCGCTGAAATACTAAATCAAAGGTGCCCTTAATTTTTTAAATTTGGTCAAAACGTGCAATTTCGGTATGGCGTGACGGGAAAATCC